TACAGTTAGAATAGGCAATCTATCCTAGTTTCTAACTTTCTATAATCTTTTACACCAAATAGGCAACCCATTAGGCAATTACAATTAGAATTCAATTAGGTGTCTTTTTGTATAGGAGCAAAACCGAAACCGACCCAACCCGACTCAAACCGACCAGGTCGATTTGGCCTATCAGTGGGTCGGTTTCGATTTCCACCTCAGGCAACCCGACCAAGTCGGGTCGGTTGGGAAAACCCCAATAAACCGGCCCAACCCAACCTGTGAACACCCCTACCTGCTATTATATATTAAAACAAAGTGGTCAAGAAATTTTCTCCTTTTTTTGAATTTTTTATTTTTTTTTCCATGTCATTTTTGAAACAACCAATGAGATGCACTTTCCCAATAACCTAAATAATCTCTTCTCCTAAAATTTCTCCTAAATTACCTCCCCCACTATCCCCCACTTTCTCCAAAATTATCCCTAATTCCTATTTATCTTCTAAATTATCTCTAATTCCTATTTATCTCAAAAATTATCTCTAATTCAATAGAGCGTTTCTATCCTAAATTATCTCTAATTCCTATTTATCCTCTCCCCAACTTTTTATCTATATCTATCTAAAGAAAGTTTGGATTAAAAATTTTAAGAATTATTTAAATATTCTAATAAAATTATATAATAGCTTTAAAATATTTACTAAAAATATAAAAAAATAGATTTATATTTTTTCAATATATATCACGAAATTATATACTAAAAACTTAAATTCTGTTTTTCCGGATTATCAATTTAAATGTTATTCAAATAATAAAAACATAACATTAAAAATAAAATATTATTTAAATATTTCAATAAATTAATATCATAAATAACAAATACTATAAATAACTATGTATTAAAATATTTAGTAATTTCTAATAGCTTTAAATAAATAAAATTCAAGTAAAAAAAATTTAAATATTTTACTTACTACTTAAATATTTAAATGAATATTTAACATAACAAGACTTTAAATAGTTAAAATAACGAAAATATGTAATAAATTTTACAAAAATCATAAAAGTAGAAAATTAATTATAACATAATATTGAAATTAAGAATAATTTAATATCTTACAAAAATAACAATGAAATTATGTATTAATAGTATAAATTACAATTTAATGGATTATTAAATTCAGTAAATAAAAAAAAACTTTAAATATTTTACATATTATTTAAATATTTAACATAACTAGATTTTAAATATTTAAAATAACAAAATTATGTAATAAATTTAAAAAAAATCTTAAAAGTAAAAAACTAATTATAGCATATTATTGAAATTAATGATATTCAATATCTTACAAAATAAATAATAAAATTATGTAATAATAGTATAAATCATATTTTCATGGATTATTAAATTAAATAAATAATTAATATTTTAAAATTTAAATATTTTACATATTATTTTTGTAGTTAGGTAACTAAATATTTTAAATGACAAAATATTTAACATAACTAGATTTTAAATTAGTTAAAATAAAGAAGTTATGTAATAAATTTAAAAAAAATATGAAAAGTAGAAAAATAATTATAACATAATATTGAAATTAATAATAATTTAATATTTTACAAAATTAATAATTAAATAACTTTAACAATTATTTAATATTTTTACATAATATTGTAAGTAACTAATTTCACTTATATCAACTAATAATTCAAGAAAATAACATTCATAAAAATTAATATTTATTAATAATAATTTTAAACTCTTAATATATATTTATTATATAATTATATATTCTAATATTAATATTTATTGTATTTTAGTAATTATTTATTGTTTTTTGTGATAAATTTATTTTCAATATAATTATGTATAAATTTATTTTTGTTTTGTTTTTTATCAAAAAACTTTCAATATTTATTAGAGATTAAACTACCATTATTGAAATTTTTAAATTTTGTTTATTGTACTTATTGTATTTTTATATAACTTATTGATTAATATTTATTAGAGATTATACTAGTATTTGAGATTATACTATTTATTAAATAATTTAATATATTTTTAGTACTTATTGTATTTTTTCAATTATTGTATTTTTTTATTATCAATATATTGTTCAATAATTGTGTATTTTCGCTATAAATTTTCAACAATTATTGGAGATTAAAATATTGTTATTTATCAAAGATGGGACTATTAATTTATTTGAAACTATGAGTGTTCATGAGTTGGTTCGGTTCAGTTGTAGGTTGTTTTGCCAACCAAATTGACCTGGTCAGTTGAAACTGACTGACCATTTGTGAAAACCGACCCACTCAAGTTGTATCAATTTGGGTCGATTTTTTGGTTTGGTCAGTTGGTTCAAAAGAAATTTAAAAATTAAATTTATGATATAAAACATTTTAGACTAAGAAATATGGGAAATTTCTCACTTTTCCATATTAAAAATTATATTTAAAATATAAATATTAATATATATATCAATGGTCAAGTCATCCGATTTTGGTAGATTTACAAATGGCCAAAGCGAAACTAATCCAATATGGTTAGGTCAAGTTGATCGGGTTGGTCGGTTTCATCAATTTAATGAATAAACTTAACTGAAATTAATTATTGTTATTTTTGTATTATAAAAAATTTATTAAAAATAGTATATAAAATATGAATAATTATTAATTATTTGAAGATTTAAAAATATAAAATAGTTGTATACTCTTATGTGTTTCTATTAGGGTCATTTAGTAGAACACACCTTAGAGTTTTACATATTTACTTAAACCTACCTTATAGTTTATTTTAAAAAAAAAATATCTCATATATTTTACAATTTATTTACTTAATCAACCATTCATTAAGGAGTGCTTGTTTTTCCATTAGGGCCATTATTTTTTATTCCAAAAATACCCTTATCATTTTTTTGTATAGAAAACAAAATTGACCAAATATAGTCAATAAAGTGGTTGTCCATGTCTTATTAGGGGCAAAAATGGTATTTTATTTTATTTTTGTTAAAATTTATTTAAATGAACATTATGGTCGACATTGTCATTTTCCACTATCATCTAATGGAAGATTGATTAAATCCATAGTAAATTATAAGTGGTGTTTTAGTAAAATACAAACTATAGGATAAATTTTAGTAAATCCATGAAACTATAAGGGGTGTTTTAGTAAATGACCATTTCTATTATTTAGCTTTCGCTTAACAAATCTCGTGCATCATACGGTCCCCACTAGTATACATATTAAATGAAGGTTTTCAGGCTACAGCCCTCTCACAATTCAAACATATGGTTTTTTCAAATTTAGACACATGTCATTTTTTGAGAAGTTGTTTTAAAGTCCACAGTCCACTATTACCATTCAGACAAGTGACCTTTTATTTTCTAAAAAATAGATGTCACATGTGACATTTTCTCAGAAATTGCAATTAAAATCCACAACCCACTACCACTATTTTAAATCCATTCCTAAAAAAAATGAAGAAAATGCAAAAGTGATTATCCACAATCGTTTCTGGTTACATTTTATCAATCTCGGTTAATCATTAACCCTCTACTTATCATAACAAAAGAAATCTATCCATATTCTAATAATGATTGAAAAACTATTTTTTGAAATAAATATTTCTTAAAATATTAATAATTATTTAAAATATTGATAAATATAAATTTAACATTATTGATTCCATAATGTAAATTTAACATTACCGATTCCCCGTACTTAGTACGGGGTCATTCACTAATTGCAACAATAACACGATGACTTAAGGATGCAAACGGATTGGATTGGATTCAAATTAGGGTATATTCAAATCCGATCTGATACTTTCATGTCGGATCCGGTCCGATCTAATCAGATAGGACTCAATTTGAATTTGAATCCTATTGGTAAGTTGATCTTCGGATCTGATCCAATCCAACTTCTTTTCTTTAAAAATTAATAAATTATTAAAAGAAAAATAAAATATACTAATTTAAATAAAATAAAAACAAAAAATACAAGTATTTTTTAATTATTTTCATCATATATATACATGTTTATATAAAATAAGTAAATAATATAACAAATTTATAAATAAATAAATAGCATATTATATATATTTATAAATATATAATATATATCGGATTGGATAGGGGTAATCCAAATCTGATCGGATTTCTAATCAAATCCTATTATCTGATCCGAAGATCCGATCAAATCAGGAGTGATCTAAATTCAACCAAATAGGATTGGATCGGATCGGATCCATTTGCACCCCTACGATGACTGAATCTTCTATTGATATTTTGACAAATTCATGATGATGAGTCAATTTCCACTGATCCAATGAATGATGTATTCTCTCTTAACTAAATTTCCCGATTAAACTTGCATTAATTGTTCGATTAGTACTATCTTTGAGCTCAATCTCCTCCTCATATCTCGCCTCCTCTTTCAAAATTTGAATTAATCCAAATCTACAATACGAAGATTGCGATGAGGATTAATAGTATTTCATTCATTCATTCATTCAGAATTAAAAAGGTGAAACACTATCAAATGTTCGATGTGACTGGATATTGATATTATATCAATCATCCTATCCAAGTCTATCAAGGGGTCCATTTTAATGATGGTTCAGATATCATTGGTTTCAGGTCAAGCCCCACCCACAGCTATAGTTTATATTATATTATGAAAGATCAAAGATATTGATAAATCTACGGCCAACATAGGTCCACTTAATCCTTACGTATAATTAATAATGTATAAATTAATTTGAACTCCCATTAATTTTATTTCATATAATTAACGTTATAGGTAGGCTAGAGTTTCTATCTATCTCTCTTTGTTTTGTTACTGTTTAATTACTGTATGATATGATTCACGTTCATCATTAATGACTGATCGAGATAAAAACAAATCCACGAAGCTTCTTCTTTTGTTTCTTTTTTATTATTTATATTTATTTCTAGTTTAGTGTTTTGAGTACGTCGTTGCTAATTGATATATATTTGTCAAGCTGACGCTTAGCTTTTATGGATATGGGGATTTTGGATTTTTTGATCGGGAGAGATGCAAGAAAGTTCATCAAACGGAAAGACAGTGATGCAGGCGAAGCAGGTTTTTATTCGACCTTCGTCTGGAATTTATTACGACTTTTTTTTCCATATAATTACTACTTATTTATTATTATAGATTCAATTTCAATTTTCTATGTGGGTATTTGAGTTTCAAATTTTTTTTCTCCTTTTTGATGATTCCATTTGATTATTATTTATACTCAGTTGGGCTATTCATGCTGCTGGTTATCATATTTAATGCTTTATTATTCATTGAAATAGACGAATTTTTTATGGTGATCTAGTTTCCAGATTTAATATTGTTTTGTGTTCATGTTCGTTGTTGGCACATTTAATGTTTCTTCAAGACAGACAGACAGACATGTTCACGAAATCTTCTTTGATGATTTAGTTTTAATAATGTTGTGTTTTACTTCTTCTCCATGGAAGTTCATCGTGTACCTGGTTTGTTGTTGTTTCCCTTTTCTTTGCTTTGATGCAATTAATGTATGATTGAGCGTCTCTCCAATTTGCATAATGGCTATTGATGAACTATGCTTTAATTAATTGATATATACTATTTGCTACCAATATACTGATTCCTTGTAGGACTCATTATCTTCATTTCCATTTATGTTCTTGTTCTGGGTTGCTTCATTTATATGAAGAATCACCCTTGATTTTCTTACTTAATTGCATGGAATAATGTTAAACCATTTAATACCCCAGCTTCATCTTTTCATTTGAGTTTATCTATCAAAAAATATAGAAAGGCTGTGTGGAATCTTATAAAATGATCTGTATATGATTTTCTTTTCTTTTGTTTTCTAACTTAATTTACATTTATATACCATTTCTTCTATCTCCATATCAAGATAATAGCCATGTCTCACTTCCTTTGCTTCATCTCATCACCTTATTATTATTATCATATGTTGGATTTTCTTTAGACATGCCTCAGAGTTTCTCCAGTTTTCTGTAACGATATTTCTAATATCATATACGCGTTACATTGATTCTTTTGATGTCTTGGAATTCTAAATTTGATTTTGTTGGACAAAAATCCGATATTCCAGGTCGAGCGCTGGAGGAACTGCGAAGCTCCCTCTACAATGAGCTTCGAACATCAGAAGGGGCCAAGCGACAACAACAACGGCTTTGTGGACCCACTGTGGCAATGACCTTCAATTTTTTGGTTGCTGTTGGGATAATCATGGCTAACAAATTGGTTTGTATATTTTATATTCATTGATTTCTATTTCTGATCATTCTTTTTAGGGAAAGGAAAGGAAAGGTAGGAAACCTTTACAAACTTTATATAGGTTTTCATACATTTCCCTTCCTTTCCTTACCTTTTCCTTCAAACCAAACATAGCTTAATAAAGAAGGGGGACTCTGGGACGACCAGTGGTTCCTAATAATTAACTACTCCATCATCCCATGTAGATCAAGATTCAAGATCTCTTTCTGTTTTGGCTTGTTCTGATCGAATTATTTGTTAAAATTCTGTTTGTAGGTGATGGGAAAGATTGGATTTAATTTCCCAATCTTTCTCACACTAATCCACTACTTTTCTTCATGGGTTCTACTGGCCATCTTCAAAGCACTTTCATTACTTCCGACCTCTCCTCCTGCCAAATCCACACCATTCTCTTCTCTCTTTTCCTTGGGCACAGTCATGGCACTGTCCACTGGCCTTGCCAATGTCAGCTTGAAGCATAACAGGCAAGATATATATTAGAAATGCCTCTCTTTTGCAGCTTCCTAATGAAATTAAACTGCATTACTTTTCCTTTTTTTATGTTTTTTTTTTTTATTCCATCACTAAACTTTCTTATTATCATGTGTTTGCATGCAGTGTTGGTTTCTATCAAATGGCCAAGATATCTGTTACTCCAACCATTGTTTTGGCAGAGTTCCTTCTCTTTAGAAAAATGGTTTCTTTCAATAAGGTGGGTATGGATTTTTGTTTTGCCTAGACTTTATCTTAGTTGAGAGAGAGAGAGAGAGGGAGAGAGTCTAAAAACATAAATCAAATAAACCATTAATACATACATATAGAGGTATAAATTACTTCTGCACTCAATGTTGCAGGTTATTGCTCTTTCCATTGTCTCAGTAGGTGTAGCAGTGGCAACCGTAACGGATTTAGAATTCAATTTCTTTGGCGCTTGTATTTCGTTAGCATGGATAATCCCCAGTGCTATGAACAAAATTCTATGGTCTAATATGCAACAAAAAGGCAACTGGACAGCCCTAGCGTGAGTGAATAATATCTCCATTCCCATTGTTTACAGTAGGATATATAAGGATTATACTCCATCTATGTAGTAGTAAATGAAGTGGCATATCTTTAAGTGTAGGTTGATGTGGAAGACGACACCTGTGACTATTTTCTTCTTGTTGGTGTTGATGCCGTGGCTTGACCCACCAGGAGTTCTGTCTTTCAATTGGGATCTCACTAGTACATCTGTTATCATTATATCTGCTGGCCTTGGTTTTCTCCTTCAATGGTCTGGAGCTTTGGCACTTGGGTGAGACTCTGTTCTGTTGGTGGTGTTCAATAAATCTGAAATCTGAAATCTGAAAAGAAGCATAGATATTTTTCTACTTTTTAGAGCCTAATTACTTTCTTATTTTAAACATTAATACAAACAGCTCTGCATCATATCATGAACTCTAACTATTACTGTAATGTGTATCCAGTGCAACATCTGCAACCTCTCATGTTGTTTTGGGCCAGTTCAAGACTTGTGTGATCATGCTCGGAGGCTACCTAATCTTCAATTCAGACCCAGGATTGATGAGCATTTGTGGGGCTACTGTTGCACTCTGTGGAATGGCAGTTTACACCTCACTCAACTTGCGGGAGTCAAAGGAGAGTAGTAGTAAGCAACTGGCAAAACAGCTGGATTCATCGTCTTCAAAACCCAAGACCAGTGTTGGAGTCTCCACTGAGAAACCAGATGTAAAAAGCACTACCACGAGTACTGTCTAAGATTGTAAGCTGAGACTCTCAAAAGGGGGAAGGAAACTGAGGCTTGTAAAATTTTTTGTCATTTTCCTAGCTATTAGTTACTCCGTAGTATTATTTTGTTGGCTTCTGGGTAGAAAAAGAATCATGTACAGACGTGACTGTCCACAATTTTTTGGAAATCAACTTTGATGTTCTTCATTTTTGTCAATATTTGGATTATTATGGAGAGTACAATTCATTAAGAACTCAGAGAGAGATTGTGACCACTGACCACTGACCACCATGGCTGCCATGCGGCTGCTGTAAGTTTGACAGCCTGGACTGTCAATAGGACTCTCCCTGAAGGGTAGATTAGTTCACACAGATTCTTTCCAACAGAATCAGTACTGAATTAACAGGGAAAGCCTTGTTGACAGCCAACGTTCTCCCCGTCTTGCCCACTCAAACACCTCAAACCGCTCGTGAGCAACAAGGGTTACAGGATAACAGGTTAAGAATCATGTAAGCTGGCCCTCCCTCGTGCATTCTACCCATGGTTTTAAAAATCAAACCGGACACGGAACCATTTTGGAGACCCGTTTCTGGGTTGAATGGTCTGACCATCTGGTTCGAACAGATGGCCCATTCTACTTAAAAAATAAATAAAATAAAAAACAGCCAAAAAATCATATTAGACAACCCATATCAACAGATCGTTGACTAAATCAACAGTTTTTGACCAAAAAGTTATTTTAAAATAAAACAGAACTAGTTATCTGACGGATTTCTGGGTCAACCGATCCGGTCCGATTTTCAAAACCATATTATTGCCATCATATTGGCCATCCGATTTCAATTAGTTGGGACTACTTGGTATATATTTGTTTGACATTAATTAAGGCCTTAAAAGGGAATATTCACCACACCAAGTCACCAAATACTAAAACAAACTACCACTGTCATGGCAACTTTTTTTGTTTTAGAAAAACAAAACCATTCGCTTTGGTAAACATCCCCTGAATCGGAACTTATATTTTATTGTTTGGTTAGTTAATCTTGAATGCCTCAATTAAGACCATGAGTTTAGTTAGTTCTGCATTGCTATATGCAGTCCAATCTTTTATTTTTTTCATATGTTATATTTAACTAACAACTTTTCTTAAATAAAGACAAAAGAAAGCTTAATTTCCATTTTTGTATGCCAAATGATACGGGGAAAATGCACTAGCTGAATTCCGTGCTAGAATTTAATATTTAGGTCCCATTTAGTTCGAATTTGGAATCTTTAGAATTGGAATCGGAATGGCCCATTCTTATAATCTCTTTGGTTCAGACAATAATGGGAATGGAAATTAAAATCAAAAGAAATGAGATTTTATTCCCAAGGGAGAGGCAGAGAATTGCCACTCCCTTAAATGGAGGAATGTCATTCCAGCAGGAATGGAAATGGAATTCCGATTCCACCCAACCAAACAGTTGGAATCAGAATAGTCAATTCCAATTCCGATTCCAGACCCCTATTCCCACGAATCAAATGGAACCTTAATATATAGACCATCAGACCATTTCTCTATAAGCACCGAGCATCACCCAGACTTGAATGAACCAAGGCAATTAACCATTTGGAATCAGAGATTGAGTTAAACGGCTTCATAACAGCAGCTGAAAAGAGTCGAGCATTGCTGCATTGGAGAGCATGCATTTAGGTATTTCTACCAGCCATTAAAGAATAATGATAGTGGTGGCACAACCCAAGGGAATTAACCGTGTGGGAAGGCTTAAGCTGGAGCTAAGCGGCTTAACAACAGCAGCGAAGACCGAAGAGGGTCGTCGGTCACTGATGAGCATTTAGCTATTTTTGCAATTAAAGAATGATTATAGTGGCATAAAACTATTGACATTTACGCTGTGTTGGGTTTGAAGGAAAAAGTAGGGAAAGGAAGGGAAAGATAGGGAGACCTTTACAAACCCTGTATAGGTTTCTTACCTATTCCTTCAAACCAAACATAGCTTTAATGAAAACTTGAGTGGAGAAAAACACTTGTCATACCAAAAAAAGGGAGGGTTTTGAGAGGTGAAAACTCTTCAAACTTCAATATAAAGCTATGTTTGGTTTGAAGGAAAATGCAAGGAAAGGAAGGAAAAGGTAAGAAAACCTATAAAAGATTGTATAGGTTTCCCTACCTTTCTCTATCTTTTCCTTCAAACCAAACATAACCTTAACAAACGACCATTGCCTCACCAAACAGCGACACATTGCTTTGCACCTTTCCATGTCTAAAAAGAATGGTGAAAGCTAAGAAAGCCCTCCCAAACGTGTTAGCATCAGCTATGCATTTTAAATTTTTAATGGCATCCCGTGAGAAGAAATATATATTAACATTATTCTATAGAATGTTCAGATTCGGACAGAACAAAACCTTTTTGATAAAAAGAATATTAAAACATTGAAATAATTATAGATTTTTTTAACTATTCCACGTCAATATATAACCATACAAGATAGAACAATAAAAATTATGGCCCATAAGCACATGCAAATGCAGTAAATTCGGCGAAGTCAACATTTTAAAAACCAGGCAACAAATAAACCATTCATGGCCGCCATAGCGCTGCCATGTAGCGGTTCTAAGTTTCTTAACAGTTGACCATTTGGTTTCATCATCTCATCTAAGCCTCGTTAGCTACATTAATCCCGTTTGTCATTTGTTCTATCTAGTTCCATATCCATTGTTAGAATGCAAGTACTTAGATCATTTTTCATTACGTTTACCCAAGATTCAAAATATCGTTATGTATTTGATACGTATCATACGGGGCCTTCCCGATACACCCTTACAGGGGGTGTATCAGATCAAACCATGGTTCAAAAGATAATCAAAGACTTAAACCAACCCCTCTGAACCGATTTAAAAATAAATAAATAAATAAAACATAAAAAAAACACCGATACAAGCAGTCAATACACCCTCCCGAGTACCTTTTGCTAGTCTTTTATAAACTACATTCAAAGGTTCAAAATTTTGTTACATATCGGCTGTATCATGTTGGTGGATCAACAATACGTCAAATAATAAACTATGGAGTTTTGATCTATTCCAGGGGGTAGAAGGCCTAAGACCTACCCCCTAACCCATTTCTAAAAAAAAAAGACTAAAATATAAGGTTGTACAGGGTTCAAAGTGATGATACACCCCTTCCGCTACATCAAGGTGCATCGATATTTTGAACCTTAAGAAGATTATATGTAAAAAAAATATCACCGGAAAAACACAATATTCTAAAGTTCTCTCTTCAATATTGACCAAAGCCTAACATATACACACAAACGTACATAAATACATATATGTATGTATGTATGAACGATAAGTACACATTTGGGACTGCAACAGTCCAACAATCAATTTTTTCCTAAAAACCTTTTCCCGGGTATCAGAATAATAAAACTGGATCAATGAGTTGAAAGAAATGCAAGTGCTACTTTCTCTAATACCCATTACAACAGTGTAATAAAATACATCGTTGATCACTCCTTACTATCAAAATTTACTTTACAGGTAAGAAAGTGGACAACAAAAAAGAAAAAATATGTATCTTACCTTCCAATATCCTAAGAGATCACCTCAAAGAGTAAAGAGAACAAAAATAAAAGCCTAAGTGAACTTCTTTTCACCTAATTTAGGAAGATAATAAGTCAAAAACGAAGGGGCAAGACAAGAAGGAAAAGAATACCAACAACGCAAGGACCTACACAACCTCCCAGAACTAGCTTTAAATGGTCAATATCAGTCAGGTGAAAATCACCATCCAATCCTCCAGCACAACAATTGCCCATAATTCCATAACCACATTTCATATATATATGTACACTCAAATTAGGGTGAGTCCTACATTCTTCCCGATTACCCCCATCAGAGCTCTCTCAAAAATATCCTGAGATTGATTTATATTTTTGTTTTATCAGCCGCCAATAGGAGTTTCTCTAATCTCAGTAATTATTGGTCCAATTGATCTGTGCACGTTGAGGTTGATAAACACCAGTTGGGGGTCCTACCATTTCCACAGCTCCAGCCATTGTCTGAGACTGTTGTAACAGTGGGTGAACAGTTGCGGTGGCCACTGCCGGTGCAGCATGAAACATTCCAGCAAAAGCACCATGGCCTCCCTGTGTGGGAGCAAATGTCACATGCTGCCCCTGAGGAGGAAGGTTGTAGAAAGAACTTGGCTGCAAGCTGGGAATGTCTCTACCTGGTGCAGGAATCCAGACAGCCGAACCTTCACTCTGTAAAAACAAAGCCACCTTGTCATTTAAAAAATCCTTTTCCAATATGCTCAAAGCTTATAAGTTATTATTTTTGGGGTGTGAAAATTGTACCCATTTGACAATAACAGTGAGTACACACCCTAAAAAAAACAGAAAATGACAAGGCAAATGACATATAAAAACATTTTGAAGGGATCAATTCCAACCATATATGACAGTGCAACTAAATTCATCCACATAACACAAAGTATCTTTCATGCATGTAACAGCATACTCAATCATCTTGCATTTAGTGAAAGATACCCGAGTACCTGTAATATGTATAAACTTGATTAATTGGGTTTAGACATATATATCACATTAAACTTGATTAACGTGAAAGATGCCTTGAGTATTCTGTAATAATATCCATTTTGCAACATGGTAAATTGGTAAGATTGCTAATACTACCACTCCATCCACAAACTTTTCCGTATTTTGTATCTAACATATTGCAAGGAACAAATATAGAATAAGATCCACATACCAAAAAAATGCATTACAAACTATTATACAAGTGATGCACAAAATTAAGTGAGGAACTCCCAAGTAGAAGACAGGAATCTATTCTACAAAATATGGACATGTCATCTTGTCTTTGCATATGTTCTTTACACATGTACAACCAAAAGAGACATTAATATGGTCCCCAAAAGAATTTGTTTAGGAAACAAATAACCACCAAAAACCTAATGCAAGCATTTTTCCCAAATAAAGACAGTAAAATAGCATCTAATATGTCCCACTTGGAACTGCATAGAGACTCTAGACTAGAAAATGAACAGGCATATATCAACCCAGACAACTGACTAAATAGAGTGGGTAAACCAATTGGCCAAACTGTAAGCTCAAACAAGCTCACAACCTAGTTGTAACTGCAAAGCACTGAAAAGGCAAGGGGTAAGCAGAAATCAGTTGTATTGGGGAGTTGTCAACCTAGAGAGTTGGAATACTTGAATGCAAGATGGGAACTATTGGGCTAGGTGGCAATGCTCACCTAACCTTTTTTTTGTACTTGTACGCATTCTTTTTCACATATTAATAAAGTTATACAGTTAATAATAAAAAAGTAAATAGAGGCTCTCTTGATAATCTGTTTAAACAAGGGTAGTATCAGTGTTTTAGAAGTCACACCTCAGGCACGCCTAGGCATGCGCCTCAGGCCAGGTGCCAGGCGGCCCAGGTGAGCACCTTATGAATGAATATTTTCGAAATTTTTGGGTTAATTTTGTATTTTTAGTTTATAGATAACTGTTATCATATATAAAAGGTGTTTCTCTTTTATTTTTTTACACCTATTGCATACCATATAGAAAAAAGAAATGTAGTGGGAAAATATCAAAAACTACCTAAACAAGTAAAGCAAAAGAGGGAGACGAACAGTTGTCTTCAAACTCAACTCAAGGCTGGAAGAGGAAGGAACAACAACAATTGCAAACCCTTCTTCATTCGAACTCCAAGAGGAACAGCAGCAGATTCAAACTCTTCTTCCAGAACTGTTTTGGAATATGAAACAGGGGCTCCACCCTAGTTCATTTCTGTTTTTCTCCTCACTGGTTTGGAGTTCAGATCTGCACCCCACAAGGGGGCACTCCAGTGTCCCACAGCACATCTCCGCCGTGTATTGGGAACATCTCCCGATGATGACATCATCAGGACTGGTATTATCATCGAGAGATGTTCCCAATGCACGGCGGGGATGTGCTGTGGGATGTTGTGGGGCACCCCTTTTGTGGGGCACAGATGTGGACTCATTTGCACCGAAAACAGGGGCTCCGCCCCTTCTTCTACACTGTATACTTTTTTTTCTTTTCTGCTCACTGTTTTGCACTGAAAACAGGAGCACCACCCCTCCTCCTCCTTCTTCCTTATTCATTTCTTTTCTTTCATCACTGGTTTGCACCGAAAACAGGGGCTCCACCCCTTCTTCTTCACTGTATTTGCATCAAAAACAGGAGCTCCGCCCATCCTCCTCCTTCTTCTTCTTCCCTCTTCTTCCCTGTTCTGTTATTTTTTTTCCTCACTAGTTTGCACAGTTGCACGGAAAACAGGGGCTCCACCCCCAGCCCCCTTCTTCTTCTTCCTCCCTGCTTTATTTCTTTCTTTCTTGTTTTTTTTTCTTTCCACTGATTTTATCATTTTACACATTATTTATTTATTTCTTCTACTGATTTATTTTAGTTTTATTATCAGTGTTTTGTTGTGAATCTTGTGATCTTGACATCACATTCAGTTCAGGTAAACACACTCAGCTTCTATAGTTCTGTTGTATCTTTGCTTAGTTGTTATTTTTTTTATATATTTTTCAATTCAGTCGTAGTTGTAACTTAATAGTTAATTTAATTTTTTTCATTGATTTAGGGTTAAGGTGCTTCCGTAGTTCCGTGCAAGAATATTTAATAAAAAAACAGCTGATATGAGTGCTAATCAGGAAGAAAGCCAAGGAACTCAAGGAAATAGAAGGGATCCAGCTTGGAAATATTGTCACTTGCAAGATCTCAAGAACACCAATGCAGGGGCATGTAATTTTTGTGGAAAAATTACTAATTGAGAAATTTATAGAGACAAGAAACACATCATTGGTGATAGGAGGAATACAAAAACTTGTTCTAAATGTCCTAAAGATGTGAGGGAAGAGATCTTGTCTTATATGAACGAAAAAAAACATGTGAAAGAAAGTATGAGTGGGGAAGAAGAGGGCACTCGCATTTTAGATTTTGATAACTTGGAAAATATGGTTGAAGATGGAGATGATTTGGGAGATGATGTTCACATACTTAGAGTTATTGGCCAAGGGAGATCTAATAGTGTAAATGCATCTTCAAAGACTAGGCCTTTGTGGTCTATGACTAAGGAATCAAGTTCTAAACCCAATAGGCCACTACCCATAAAACGACAAAGGGGCCCCATAGATAAATTTATATCTACACCTAGCCCAGAACAAGTTATGAAAATGAGAATGGAACAGAAAAGATTGAAGCAAACAACCATTAGCGATGCATATAACAAAGAGGCAAGAGAACAAGTTTCTATATGCGTTGCTAGATGGTTCTACCAAGCAGGTATTCCTCTGAATACCATTCATTTAAAAAGTTTTGAGGCAATGTTGGAGGCAGTTGAATTGGTTGAAGACAGAGGACAGTGGTTTGTGGAACTTTAACAATGAGAAAAAACAGTTCTTATGRCTRGGDAGGGACATWGAGATTCAGTACAGCTGGGTGAAGAGGAGTGCCAACTCATTTGCGGATGGGTTGGCCAAGCAAGGAGTGAATAGGGAGGCTGTTTTTTGGGCTAGTTTTTAATTTTCTTTGCTTTCCCTGTGCTTTCTGTTTTTTTGGGGAGCTAAGTTATTTTATCTCCCTTTGTATTCTTTTCCCTCTATTCTCTTAATTTAATGAATTTGATGTTATTGATCAAAAAAAAATGTTAGAGGCAGTTGGACAATATGGGCCGAGATACGAAGCCCCAAGCTATTATGAGATGCGAGTTCCTCTTTTGAAAAAAGAAGTGGAACACACAGAGACATTACTGCAGCACCACAAGGAGGCGTGGGAAAAGTGGGGCTGTTCTTTAATGTCTGATGGGTGGATGAACAAAAAAGAGAGGACCCTCATAAACTTTTGGTCCATAGTCATGCCAGGACCCATGTTTATAGAAAGTATTGATGCTTCAAATGAGGTGAAAACAACTAAAAGATTGCTTTTATTATTTGGCAAGATGGTGGAGAAAATAGGGGCAAAGAATGTTCTTCAAGTGATCACAAACAATGCTTCAAACTATGTTTTAGCTAGTAAATTTTTTTACTTTTATAATTTCTTTATTGTTATTTGTTATTATTTTTTGTAGTCTTTATCTTTTCAATTTATACATGTTTGATTATTTTATTGTGCTATTGCCTTTTAGGGAAATTTTTTATGGAAAAACACCCTCATTTAACTTGGAGCCCGTTTGCTACCCACTATTTGGATTTGATTTTGGAAGATATTGGAAAGTTGTCGGTTATAAGGAAAACAATTGAAAGGGCCATTGCACTAACAAGATATATTTATAATCACCCGGGGTTGTTAAATTTAATGAGGAAGTACACAAACCAAAGAGAATTACTCCTGCCAGTAAAGACCTGCTTTGCCACTTCCTTTCTCACTCTACAAAGCATTTATAAACAGAAGAACTTGAGAGATCTTTTTAATTCAAAGGATTGGAATGAAAGCAAGTGGGTGAAGGAAATAAAGGGGAAAAGGGTAGGGGAGACGGTGATGATGCCCACTTTTTGGAACAGCATCATCTTCACACTTAAGGTGTGTAGTCCACTTGTGCAGGTCTTGAGATTGGTGAACCATGGGAACAAGCCTTCAATAGGTTACATTTATGAAGCCATGGATAGGGCAAAGGAAGCCACTGCAAGTGCATTTAGTGGACATGAGGAAAATATAAAACATTCTTGAAATCATTGATAAGAGGTGGGAGTGTCAACTCCACCAACCATTGCACGCAGCAAGCTTCTATTTAAATCCAGAGTTTTACTATGATGATGCTGAAAGGATTGATTCAGATGAAGAAGTCATCACTGAGCTCTATAAAGCAATTGAATTGTTTGAGAATGACAAAAACAAGATCAATGTAATCACTGATGAAATAAACAAATATAAAAATGCAAAGGGTATTTTTAGTCTTGATATGGCTATTTGACAAAGAAAGGTGAAAGAAGTAGGTAAGTAACATTGACTTCATAGTTTGTTTATTTAATTATTTAGTATATTTTTTATGTATTTAAATAAAATTTTAATTAATATTTTGTTATTATTTAATTTTTTACAGCTGATTGGTGGGTTTCATATGGTGTTTTGGCTCCAAATTTACAAAAGATTGCAATTAAAGTTCTTAGTTTGACATGTAGTGCATCTGGATGTGAGAGAAACTAGAATGTATTTGAGCATGTAATTAAAACTCCACTTAAGATTTTAACATTATATTTTTACATTTTATAATCCATTATGTGTTAATACTTTTAGTTTTAAACTTTTGATTTTATTAATCAATCTTATGTTTTATGAATTTATGCAAATCCATACCAAAAAAAGGAATCGGTTGGATCAAAAGCACTTGAATGACTTTAAGTCTTCATAAGTTTAACCAATTGCTTAAAGAGAACTTTGATTCACGTAGTGTCGCTGACCATATATCTTTGAAAGATATAGATGAAAGTAACAAATGGTTATTAGGGGAGATGGCATGTGAAGATGGTGGAGCTGAAAATGATTTAGTATTCAATGATGATTCTTTAACATGGGGAGATGTGGCTCTTGCTTCGGGAGTCAAAGAGCCAATAAGGAGCACAAGAAATAGACGTTCAAGTGTAGCTTCAACTTCTCATGCAAGAGCAGCAACATCAGCCAATGCAAGGTCTAGAAGGGGTTCAGTTTCTCAACTTCGTTTGGAAGATGAAGAGTTCGAGGAAGAGGAATCGGAAGAGGCATTGGGATACTATAATTCTGATGATGAGGAGGATGATGAAGTTGAACTTCCAAATGAAGAAGATGATGAGGAAGAAAATTATGGAAATGAAGAGTGAATCGGTGACACTTGGAGAGTAATTTATTTCAGCCAGATTGTTTTAAAGGCTTAAAGAATGAAGATCTACTCTTTTTTTGTTTGTTTTGTCTAAGACTGACTTGTGTTTTTTTTATTATTTTGACGCCAGTCACATCACGCCATACTTGTTTTTTGTTAATATTGACTATTGATCTTGAATCCTGATCAATCATCAATGATGTGAATGTGAATTTTGGGTCATGTGTGAATTTATTGATTACCACTTACTAGATATTAGATGTAGTGATTTCAGATTTAGTGATTGTGGTAAGTCACTAAGGGCATGTTCGTTTGCTCTGAAATCTGACATCTGAAAGTGCAATAATTACATTAAGAGGTATATTAGTATTGGTGAACTTTGCTTTCCTCTAAACTCTGAATGCAGAGAATGTTGTTCTGAATTCTGAATTCCAAAAATTATCAAATATCCATTTTGACCCCATATATTAGAGATTTTGTTTGTCTTTTTGGGGGTATCATTAGAAAACAAAAAGTTGTATGATTGCACTTTAAGAGATAAGAGATAAGAGGAAACGAACAACCATTTTTCTCTTAAAGTTAAAAGATTCCTCTTAAGAGATAAGAGTGAAGAGGAAACGAATAGGCCCCAAGTCATAAGTGGTATTGACTATTGAGGCTTAATTGTTTAACTTTAACACCATGGAGAGTGGAGACTTGGACTTGGAGAGGTAAGTTTTCTTTTAATAACTTCTTTTATGTTTGTGTTCTTGTTCATTATTTATGAAATTATGATATTAAATACTTTGCCAATCCTCATTTTCTTGTTCATTGTAAATGATTAATTTTTGTTATATGACATAACTCATATGTGTGAGCCATGGATATTGGAGACTTAGAGAGGTAAGTGTCTTTTTAACTTCTTTTATATTGGTATTTTTGTATCTTATCTTACTCATGATATTTATATTCTTTGTAATTTATAAGCACATTGGTGACATTGCTTAACATCTTTTTATAATATGATTATTTCATTATTTGAATCATTGATAATTGATACTATGTTAGTAACTTAGTATGCTATTTTAATTATTTAATTGTTTAAAACATTAGACTTTAGAATATAAATTAGAACTTTAGATTGCATTTTTTTATGAATAGAACTTTAAATTGCATTGTCATACTCATTTCTTAACTCTTAACTCTTAGAAATTTATGTTGTATTTTTTTGTATTTTTTTTGTATTTTTTTTGTATTTTTTCTGATTTTTTTAAATTTTTATATACTTTTTCAATTTTTTTGAATTTCCTGAAAATTTTGTGCGCCTTTTTGAAAAAGGCGTGCACCTCACTTTGCACCTTGCGCTTTTAAAACACTGGGTAGTATAAGATGTTAAATGCCCCATAAAATAACAGAATATACATGTTTATAAAGGCCACAAAGAACCTCTGTAGGCTTTCCAATAAAAACAAGGTAGAAAAGGTACCCAATGCAAAGATAATCCAACAGTAAGGCTCAGTTTGGGAAGAGTTCAAATACAAAATTGTTGAATGCAAAACCTTGCATACAGTACTTCTAAACCTTGTATTTGCATGTACATATTTGCATTTGCGCTCTTCCCAAACTAAGGCTCAGTATGGAAGGAGTACACATACAAATATGTAGAGTGCAAAACCTTGTATTTTGTATGTATTTGTACTGTACATATTTGTATATGTACTCTTTCCAAACAGAGCCCAAGGAAAAGATGGACTATTGTACTTGGGATATAAAGCCTAACTTTGTTTTACACAAAAAATAAGCAAGAGGAAGGCAAAAACTAGAAGAGAAGGGAGGGGAAAGGGAGAGCAGCTTCTGTACCAGGGTTGCAAGGTTTTAAAGTCATAGTTCTAATCTGTATTTGCAAAAGAAAAGAAAGGCAATAAAAAAGAAAAACTACCAGTACAATCTTGGTATAGTTGTGCCACCCTTCAATTGGAATGGACTCATACCAACCCAAAGGAAGAGAATGATGGTTTCTTCACCAATATGGGAAGAATCCAACTACCTGAAGAAAGTAAACAAAGTTCTCAAGAATTTCCCTACTTTAGTTGGTGTCTGTGTGTCTGGGGTGGAAGCTTGTTTATGTGTAGCTAAAAGGAAATAGGACCATGCCTTTTTAGAAAATGTATCCAACAAGCCTAATAAAGAGACCCAACTTATAAAATGCATAACCTAATAAAGCAAAATTCTGAAAGTAATTAAAATGCAAAATATCTTGGGAAATTTCGCTAGTTACGGTTAAACTCTTCAGAAAAAGAAATAGATCACTCAAATAGCCTTGTGATCCTAACATATATCCCACGGTTCATGGGCAAAAAGTGGGCCTCTTCAGACTTGAGCCACTCAACAACTTGAGGAAGGTGAACCAATGACTTAAAAGGTGTGCCTCAGACGCATAGGCAATGTGAATTTTAGGGTACCCGACCAAGCCCAAACAAATCCATATTTGGATCTAAAATTCTTAATCCCTATACAAAAGAAAGGTTTTATAACTTTAAATGTCTTTTAAAAATATCTTTTATTAGGATATATGAATGAGCAACATTAGCATATATGGGTTCTATCCGCTCTGAGCTCTAAAAACCCCATATTTGGTACTGTTGCTCATTCATTTATCCTAATAAAAGATATTTTTAAAAGACACTTAAAGTTATAAAACCTTTCTTTTTTTATAGGGATTAAGAATTTTAGACCATAATATGGACTTGTTTGAGCTTGCCTCGGGGGGCTTGGTACAAAGATAGCTTGTAGAATCAAGAATGCATAATGTTTAACATCACATTAGCTATTTGAAGTAATGCAATTGGGAAAAGGATAAAGAGATTAAGAGTTCACATGCTTGAATATGTTTTATATGTTATGCTTGATTTTATTTTTAAATATGTTTTACTTGTTATGTTTATCTTTTAATTTGAGATAATATGTTTTGTAACGCATTTATTTTAAAATCTAAGATTATAATTTTAATGAATAATGTGTTTAATATTTTAATAATTTGCATTTTTTGAACTGTTTGGCATTTTGTTGGCATTTTTTGAATTTTCTAGATTTTTTTTTTTTTGCATTTTGCGTGTTGCTTTAAAAAGGCATGTGCCTCGCCTTGCGCCTCGGGCACAAAATGGCCCTTGCGCTTTTTTTGTGCCTTTCACTTTTAAAACACTGAGGTGAAGCCTGCAGCATCAACCTCATGCTCTAATTCTTTAGGAGATAAAATTCCCACTATGAGACTGTAAATCTACAATCCCAAGGTGATAAGTGCAGCACCAGTCCACAGGCTCAAATGTAAACATGTTAGCCAAAAAAAATGTTCTATTCAAATTCTAGGCTCTGTTTCCAATATTTACACCAAAGCTATCATATGGCAATCACATCCACTGTCAAACTTTGGTCAAATATTACAGAGTTGAACAGATGAAAGCTCAAATGACATTAATCTGGGACTTGGATAACCAGAAAATTCAGAAATATAGCAAAGCCTACGCATACACATGCACAGAGGGTGCCAGGGTGGGGGCTTACTTCTTTCTGGATTAGTAAATAAGGATGGAAATTTACTTGAAACAGCACACTAAACCATGAAAAACATTCAATGAATATTTATATATTATCCAACACCAACACCTGGAACCAAAAAACAATCAAGTTTAAAAAGGGCAGAAAGAGGATCATATAGTGGCATACAGGAAAAGTTGGAAGGAAGAAAGGGCTAAGGAAGGAGGGGAAAGAAAGATCTAAAATAAAAACTAAGAGGATAAGCTAGATATGTAGGATTCTGGCATAAATAAACTTGTCAACCTTTATTTACTTCTAAAATAAAATGTAAATAAAAGTGTTATCTGCAGCTCAATTGTACATTCTTGTTTATATAATGAAATATTTTCTGCTACCTATCAAAAAAAAAAAAAAAAATCTGCAGCTCAGTTGCGACCCCCTACATTTATTCTTTCCTTATAGTTGGCTAAACACGAAGCACACAAAGTATGCATTCTATGATATATACATGCATATATGCATATGCATAGCCATGTCCATGCTTCTATATTTTGAGGGCTTGTGATGCTTGTATACACAGATCATAGAAAACAATAATAACCATCGCCAAGATTATTATAAATCCTCTTATTTTCTTCAGTTTACCCATTGTTAATTAATTCCTTGTCATTCTTTTCACAGATTTAACTTAAAATATTTCTTTCGGAAAAAAAAATCATGGTAAATATTATAGGGCGACATTATAGAAGGCCATGTTTGCCATCCTATTAGACTGAGATTCAAAAAAAGAGGAAAACAAACCTGCTGTCCAGTCATGTAGACACTATTTTCCTTGAACTGTGAGCCTCCAAGGTCCTCATTTCCGGTTGAGTTTCCAGTAGTCACAGCTGGACTGGGACTGTAACCAGCTGGGGAGGAGCTGTATGGTCCATATCCAGTTGGCATTGCAATGTGCGTTGAGTTGCCTGTATTAGCTCCAGGCTTGTATTGTGAAAAGGAGTATTTGACACTTGTTGCAGCTGCTGCTGCCACTGCAGGAGGTGGATATAAATTTCCTGCTGGTGGTTGTTGAGGGAAAGCAGTGTTGCTTAAAAAATGGTGAATAGGAGGTGGTACATAGAATGGAGAGAAGTACTGGCTGTATGGCAGGTAGCTAGGAGGATAATGGGATATGTGTACCCCAGCAGGCTGCCGGAAAACAGGAACTGGTTGCTGAGTCACAGAAATAGAGCTCTGCATAACTCCTGCAGCTTGTGTCACAATGGGGGTAGGACCCCCTGTAGACAAGACAAGAGAATTCCCGCTCTGAAATAAGAAACATTTTTTAAGTGTTGGAGGAAAGAAAAAGAAATAAGAAATGTTTTTACAATGTTAAACAATCAAACAGTGAATATACAAAGGCAGAGCTATGAAACATTACTAATTAAGAACTTTCCTAGAAATCCTTAAAATGAAAAGACAAGTAGCAAGCTTTTTAAAGAAAAGACAGGACACCAACAGTAATTCAATACCAGCAAACATGACAGAATAACTAGCACGCACAAGAGGATCTCAGAATCATGGCTGCAAGAACTATTATTACTGATAATGACATCATTATAAATATTATTTTGTTCTAAATTCTTTTTTAAACCAAAAATGTACTAAAGAAAGGGAAACAGTATTTGAATTGATGCCAACAATAGTGGCTATGTTGTAGCAATTTCATCCCCATCATTTGTTTGTCATTGATTTTAGCCCCATCTAATTGTTTTATATTTAATAAAAAATAAAGCTAAATTATCCGAAAAAAAGATTATGATGCCTTTCAGCATATTCATATAACATACTAAACCCAACAGTCTTATGGTTATGCCAACCACACAGAGTCAGCTACATGGAAAGAAGCAGCAGCATCTACAAGACTGATTAATTCTATGCTATGGACCTGAACAAGGAGAAATTAAGCCGAATATTGATTGCAGCTCTCTTGGGAACCCAGGCCAATCAGGCATACGAGTTTCCACAGATACCAATGACAATATGTTGTTTAGCTATTTGGGTCCAGCTGGACTTTTAGCTCTCCAAGGGCAGATACGTTAGCCCTTTATTCTGGACTAAGATTTACATGGGTGAGAGACTGAAGTAGCTCCTTTATTTAAGGAGATAGTCAAGTTGTGATTAGATGGTTTCTATCCAAGGCTGAAGGATCTTGGTGCTTAAAATGTCAAACAAGAGAAGCATTGGCTATCTCATCCATTCAGATTCCCAAGTCAGCTAACTGCCTAGCACTAGAAGATAGTCTAGCCAGGTTGAGGGTTAACAAAAAAAGAATTAGAATGGAAGGTTCCGATCCCAGGGGGACATCTGTAATCTGTTTTGTGCTTGGATTAGTTGAGGCCATCAGCCAATTGCTATTGAGATATGATTTTGCCTTCCTCTCCAAGTACCTTAGAGAGGAGAGATTAAAGAAAATATTATGCCTTTGTTGCTTATATACACATAGGAAATCTAAGGGGCCATTTAGCAAGTCTTTTTGGGAAAATCTTCTGGTAGCTCTGACAGTCAAAAGACGCATTGACCTTTTGCATGAAGATCTGAACAGCCCAGAGCTAGTTTGGCTACCGCGCACGCATCTTTCCATGTCATTCCACACAAGAATAAAGCGAGAAAGACGCGAAAAGCTCCATTTGGAGCTTCCTGAAATCAGCCCAAAACGGGCTTCTCGCGCCTTTTTGGCGCACCGACTTTTGGCAGCTAGATCTATTACGAACCAAACAGAAAAAGACCGCAGCGCGGTCTGCCCAGCTTGTAAACAGCCGAAAGACCACGCGGAAAGACGCGCCAAACAGGGCCTAAAATATTATTGAAAAGAAGTGAATTTCCATCCCCAGAGTCCTTTTCCAAACATTTTTGATAAAAAATGTGAAGTATAATCTACTCTATATATAAAAGTGTGAATGCAATGTGAAACTTTTTTGGACTAAAATTATCCTCTACTTCTTTGTTTGAGAAAGTGGTATAAAAGCCATTTTATTACAACTTTAATGCCAACTTTAATGGATACTAAAATGCCCATAATTGTGTATTTAGTCCACCTCTAATAGTAAGGTTGAAAATGTAACTTCAATTATTACTTCCCACCTCATTTAATCCTCTCTCATCAAGTCTTATACTTAAATTATTAACTCCCATTTTCTCTTACTAAATTAGATATGTCAATACTTTTAACAATATAAACCCATATATTTTAAAATTGACTCAAAAACAAAACAATTTTTAATCCAAGTGGTGGCTAAGCAATTCAACCATCCGAATCAAAATGATCAACCTACAAAGTCATAGTTAGGTAATAAATTTTTTAAAATAGAAGTAAATATAGAAACTTACAAAAAAATGTGGAAAAAATTAAACACATTTATGATATTTTTATTAATCAAATTAAAAAATAAGTGTAATAAACAAGAATTATTTTTATTAGTAATGAAAATGAAATAGATAAATTAAAATTGATCAAAAATAAAATTATTTTACTGTTTGGCAAAGATCAATAGTTCAAATTTTGGGTCAAACATGTTAAAATGTCATAAATAAATAATAAAAGTTAATAAAATATAAAAATACATAAATTTTGCAAAAAAAAACATTTAGGCACATGTATAATATCATATATTTATCACATTAAACAAAAAGTAAGTGTACCATATTAGAATATTTTTACACACAAAAATACAAAAAAGTTACAGAAAAAATTAAACACATCTATAATTCTATATTTACACCACTATTAAAAATATGAATAAGATTGTGGAACTTTCTTTTGACTAAAATACTCATTTTTGAATTTAGTCCCTATTTAATTATGAGGTTTAAATTGTAAATTAAACTACTACTTTTCACCCCCATTCAATTCCCTCTATATAAATCTTACATTTTTTTGATAAATGAACAAAAAACATGATACACCAATAATATTAAATATTACAAAAAAAAGAAGAATCTGGCAAAGCAAGTATGCCTAGCAATGATACTTGAAACTTCACAACTCGATCCGATGGATGAGGTGTTTATGTAATCAGATTTAGGTTTTCAATCTACGTTCAATTAATAATAAAAAACAAAAAATATAAAAAAAAAGAATATATAAAGTTTATAAAAAATTGGATGCATTATTACTATCATTATCATCATCTAGAATTACCACGTGCGCACTTACTAGTTGTACTAAAGAACAAAAAGTATACATGGTCCTCTGTACAAAGAGTTTCTGTACATATGCACACATCCATTAAGGAACCCTACCCCCCCCCCCCAAGAAAAAAAAAAAAAAAAAAAAAAAACTCCAAGAAATAGGAGTCCTTTTCCAAACTTGATATATTTGCAAGGGTCCACCATACATACAAGCTAGAGACCTCTATGTTTTCCTCTGACTCTTAAGAAAAATCCTGTCCTCATTTCCTAAAAATAATGTGTCCAACAAGATTCACACAATTATGTTCATCAAAAACAAAAGGATTCATACAATTATTTATTAGCTTGAGTCCCATGTGTATTTTGCAAGCACAAGTAATGATGATTAAAATGGTTTATCTTCTTAACAATGCCCAGTTGCCTATTCTTATTTCTCCATAGAAACATATCATGCCCAATTACCCATTCTTGGTGTACATATTTGACAGGCATGATCATCACTTATATATGGCTATGTGCACATGTTTTACTTATCAATAAAAAAAAAAATGTTCTGTATACATATACATTACTTTTCCCCATTTATTACATATCAGTATGGCCATTGGACTGCTTCAAATCACCTTGAGTTATAAACACAGTTCCTGATAAAATATGTTACAAATAAAATTTTTTAAATACACCTCCAATGCATGTCAAAGTTGTAATTTTCTTTTCAAAAATATATACATATATATATATATATATATGTATCAAAACTTTAACATGTACTAGGGGAAAAGTTACAGTTCTTCAAAAGAGCAAACCTCTTGTGGACATTGACCAGTCTGTGGGGATAACACTGTAATATTCCCATTGTACTTGGTCACAGCTCCAGGTGCAAGAAAGGGAGAGAATCTGCCATCAATATCTGCACCTGGCCGATAAAATTGGGTATAATAGCTTGTTGACGGATCAAATGGCTGTTGAACCTGAATGGAAAATTGTTATTACCAAACAATTCTTAAATGAAAGTACGAACTAAAAACAAGATCTAATGGGGGTTAATCTCAAAACTAGGTATTTCAATTTGAACCCAAATTGGTAGTGGGAAAAAACTATTACGAAAGAGAAATTTTCAATAAAGCACGCCTCTTTTTGTACATACTCTCATGTACCCCTTTCTTTTTTAATGAAATCTGTTATCTTTCAGCTCAAAAAAAATTTCAAAAAAGCACAATGCTCAATTCAACAGAGTAATCATACAATAGGAGCTTGGGTTGGCAAAAGCATCAACATGGTGGCCTTTTAATGCCAACAAACATCAACTCAACTCAACTAAGCCTTATCACAACTACAGGGGATCAGCTATGTGAATCCTGCTCCGCCAATCTGCTCTGTTCAGTGCCAATAAGCATACTGTTACTGATTTACTTTTATTAAAATAACAGATGGATTTTTCCATAAGGGTAGCAAAGACAAAGGAGAAACATGATGGGAAAAGAAATGAAGGCCTAGAAGTCAAAAAAGGGGGACAAAGCAGCTGAATCTCAAAAACATTGAAACTGTATACTTAATATCTGGATAAAGAATGTATGGCATATATGGGTGGGCAAAAGACTGTAATTTGGAATCTCAATTAACAGGGGACATATAGAACCAAAGAATTGAAGGCTTATGATAATGATTGGAAGTTGAGAGACATCACATGCCTGAGACTCAGAGCTTTCAAATGGTGCAAGCTGGTTCCCTAGCATGGATGGCATGAACCCAAAGCTGTAGGTTGGGGCAGTGTGAACAACTGAATATTGAGGACCACCAGATGGCAAAGCTGTCTCTGGCTTTGACTGATCATATTCTGTGACTGCAGTAGATGATACTTCAGCTTCCCGTGAAGATAGATTTTCTGGCATGTGTCCAGGTGACTGTGGATTATCAAGATAATCTTCTTGTTGAACAGTTGAAGACGCATTCTGATTGCTGCAGCCAATTATAATAATACTAATAAATATCTCAGATTGTAAAGGAGGAAAGTTAACGTGCCAAATAGAAGACCTCATTATGTAAGACAATGAAAATCAGAAATATTTTTTAATAATAAAGACAGATTTTCATTAGAAAAGAATACAAAACAGGTAAGAAGGAATCCCCAAGGAAAAAGAAAAATACAAAAAACACCCTCCACACCCAACCAGACAGTCCAACAATCCATTCATGAATCCAATCCCCAAAACCTAACTTCTTCAGCTGCAACAAAATACAAGGAGAGCCCTAATCCACAACCAGAATTAACACCCAATAAATGATTCAGAAAGAAACACCCTCAATCAACATGTTACTTTAACAGACACTAGTAAATAACTAGACAAAAAAAAAGGAAAAACAGAACCCTCCATATATCATCCTCAGCAAGTAGTAAATTATAGGATGGTGGACCTTCCTTGAGTGCAAAGAAGAACTTAGCAAAGCATTTGCGGCATTTATAGGATGGTGGACCCTCCTTGTATGTTACATTTTGAATGCATAGTATTATGAATGGAGCAGCTCAGATGACCTAACCATCCCGTTTACCTCCTTTTCACTGCCTCCCCTTTCAATTTTTTTTTTTTTGTTATCTAACATAATGCAACAAAATTGATGGCTACAGTTGCATAGTTTTGCAATTAGGGCTATTACAATGAAAAAACCCCAATCCCCTTGCATGTCAATCCATCACAAATGCTACTAAGCCATTACTTCATCATCCTTATAATCAAATTAACATCATATCAATCTTAACAACAAAAAATAATAACAATTATAGTAAGAACATAAGAGTGATAAAAACAATAATAAGAACAGAAACCCAAAACCAATACTGAAGGATTACTACCATTTGGCAGACAATGGTACTTGGGCAACCTCCTAGCCATGGAAGATAAAATAAAGAAAACCCAAAACCACCTTGTACAAGATGGAAGAATTGAAAGACCTAATTGATATAAATAGAATTACTAGCATATTGCACAGACCTTGAGGAAGGCTCCTCAACAGTTTCCTCAATCCCCTGAGAGGATTCAGATGGAGGTGTGGAACTTTTATTGCTCTCAGGGCCATTGGCATAGCTTGTGCTCAGGCAAAAACCAGCATCAAAGCTTCCAAAACTCAACCCACTTCTTTGATCTTCGGGGACTTGTAGATGGTGTGGAATGATAACATGTTGACTATCTGACAGATGCAACTCTCCTATCTTCTGCTGTAATTTTGAAGTTTGATCCTCTGAGGCAAAGGAACACATTGCAGGCAGTGAACAAGAAACGGCTTCAACTGTGATGGACTGAATCTCACTTGTTCCAACAGCTCCAGATGATTGAGCAGAATTTATAGGCTTTGGTTTCCACTCCTTATTGGTGCCAACTGCTAAAGATTAAAAAGCAGTTACTACCAAATGATCTCCATTGGCTAATTTTGTCAAGTTAAACATAACAGCTTCAAACACAAACCCATAAACAAAGATAATTTTTTTTGGTACCATGGTGTTCAAGCTCAAGTGTTCCAAGCTAGAGACATTTTGGCACAGAACATGGGGCAAAATGTTTTATTATTGTGTCAAACACATAAGAAAGTGAAGTAGGAACACCTCCAGGATTTCTTCCAATGCCCCTTGTGTGGGAAACCAATGCAAACTGTGGTGTTCTTGCTCCAAGTTAAATCTGTTCTACCAAATAAGTTTTTTTAATGTTAAAGTTGAATGGCCTATCTTACCACAAAAACAACAACAACAATAATAATAAATGGCCTATGTGGCAGTTACATGTGGTTGAAATGGAAATGGAACACCACAATACCAAACACCGCCAAAGGTAGTCTAATGTGTAATAAGAAACAAAATTCCAGCATAGTAGTAATCAGCATCAATAAAATTATGTGCATACTATGAACCTAAACATAAAAACTGAATAGAAATTTCCCAAGAAAAGTGAGCAGTTTAAGGAAATAGAATCTGGACAAGAGGTGTTAGAATACCAAATAAACTAATTATACGTATTTATACATAAGAGTAATTGCATATCCAAGTCCAAGAGTGCTAACAAGGAAGAAGATATATCTTTTCAAACTCAAGATTTCTATGCATATATGCATTCAAAGCATCTGTGTGTTGACTTCAAAGTTCAAAGTCAAGATAGATACAAGTATACTAGATTGCTCTAAAGGTTGGCAGTGGCAAGTGTACTCAACAAATATTCTTTTTACAATCAAAGAAACAGAACTAACGAGTTGAATACCAACACAAAGACAACATAAAGCTATTTCCAGGAAAAAAACACAAACAAAACAATAGTCAACAAGGAATTTGAGGTTTTCAATGACATGGTGATGTTTCTGCTATTCATTGCAGACATTTTACTGATTATTGAGTCAAATAATTTTACAGAAGCTCAACTGAGATTGTAGAAAAGGATAGTAAAGAAAAAGAAGTAGCTTAAGGACTGCAAATGGGATGGCAGATGTATGAGTAAAACAAGGAGTTGATAAACCTCTTTTATTTTGGGCAAAATTGTTATCTGATGTAATATGAACTGGCGGGATTGCAAATAACAGTTGTACTAAGTTTATTAATGAATGAATTTCTCTTGCTGATCAAAAAAAGAAGTAGCTTAGGAATCTCTCATTTTTTTAATGAGAGAGAGCATGTAACATGAATGTGTGAAAGGTGATAGGAAAATCCAGTTCTGATGCATATATAAAGGGCAATCTTTTGCCGTAGGAAATATTTACTTGGTTAAGACTATCAAAAGATAACTATGTCTTGCTCACAATTCTAGCCAGCAAGTTTTTATCATGTTGAGACAACTACCAGACAGCCCAGAAGGTGATAGCATCACCATTTCATTTTACAAGAAGGGTAGGCTGTAAACCTAATCCCAATTTATACATTCATTGCAAATTTACAATAAAAGAAGGGTTTCTTTCTTTTATGAGTAAAAAAAAAAAAAATTTGATTTCTATTGACATTTTCCTTGGCCAGGGTATCAGCAAAACCATTTAGTGATCTATGAACCCAGGAACGTGTGGTGTTCAATGTTCTTGCTATTGATTTAATTTCTATTATGCCAAGGTCCTTTACTGCCATTTCTCATCCATCCCACTAGTACTCTAGAATTCCCTTCTATGACCATAGTAATGTGCTCCCCAATCTTATACCATGTAGTAGTGCTAAAAATTCTGCAATTGTGGAGTTTCCAGAGCCAACCAGTCCTGAGAAAATAGCTTTGATACACCCATTGTTGTCTCTAATAACTCCTCAAATGCCTCATAGACCAGGATTAAACCAAACTGCAGTGATCAAAATATAGCCTGTAAGCACCAGTTTGGCTATAGCAGAGTCAGCCACCCATTGTCATCTTCTACTTGAAAATGTCAAACATGTCGCATCTGGATGGCTGTGAGAATGTCAAGAATGTGCTTTGGAATATAGACACACTATGAGAGGAGAGAGCTGGAAAAAAATGTGATAATTAATCACTCATGCGTAAAAAGAGAAGCTAACGCATTGGCTAATACAATAGTGAAATAAGGAGCAGAAAGGGCTAACATGTTCCAGGTCAGTTGTAAAGGATTGCAAATCTAGTCGAGATAGGTAGCAAAAGCCAGCCTATAAATAAGGGTGCTTTGAATATAGAAATGCTTTTATTAATGATAGAAATGAAATGTAAAATTTAAAACCAATTGGAAATAAAACTATTTTCCTATTCTCTCTCATTAAATCTCATATCTAAGGTATATTCTCTCATTAAATCCTATATTTAAGATATATTTTCTCATCATTAAATTCTACTAATTAAATCCACAACATTAATTTTAACAGGACAAAAATAAATAATTTGAAAATAAAATCATTTTCTCTCCTCTCGGTGGTAGGTAAGAAATTCAACCATTTGGGCTCAAATGGGTTAATAAATAATGCCATAATTAAATAATAAAAATTAAAATAAATAAAATATATAATACAAAAAATTAAAAAAAAATTGGGCATATCTCTAAGAAGTATTTATATTAATGATGAAAATGGAATGCCAAATTTAAAATCAACCTAGAAATGAAATAATGTCATAGTCAAATAAAAATAGAAGATACAAAGAATCAAAAAATAAAAAATAAAAAAATTGGGCACATATCTAATGTTATATATTTACAAAAAATAAAAAATTATTTAAATAATGCAGATGAAACTACTACTACTACTACTACTACTACTATTGTAATTTAAAATTTCCATGTGCAATGCATGTGCTTAATTACTAGCAGAGTGATAAATTTATACATACATACATAAAATGTATATATGTTCATAATGCATATTAGAATAACAATATCTTCATAAAAATGTATAAGCTTCATTTAAAATATCGAAAATCAACATATTCATGAAAAAAATAGAGGACAAAAAAATGAGACGGGGGTGATCCTCCGTGGGCACCTTGTTGCCTAGGCATTGCCATGACAACTATGGTAAGATATTGCATTAGAATAACTTCATAAACATGTACAAATATAGCTTATGTACAATAAGAAGCCACATAATGAGAAAAGATTCATTCACATCGGTGAAATCAACCTACACCATTCCCCTCGTATCTATAAAAAAAGGCTTCCACCAAACAGTCCATATAACAGCAGCAATATGACACTTCAGAGGATCCCAGCTCTCTTGTTTAGATCCCTCAACCTCCACCTAGCTAACAATTCCACTAATCTCTTCAGACAGCAGCAGTTGAAATTAACCAGCTCACAAAAATATACAAATAGGTCTGGAACAAAATGGCTCCATTATTGCTTTGTTCTCCGGTCCTGTAGAGGAGGGTGATGTAGCTAGGGCAGAGTTTCTAGCTGCAGTATATGGGGTTGAGAAGGCCAAAGAGCTGGGGATTAATAGACTGATCATCGAGGGAGACTCAAAAACTGTGATAAAATGGTTGCAAAAAGGGAAAGGAGTGACCTGGCAACTGAAGAAATATGTTTTGGGCACTTTTGGTTGCAAATGGATGTCAAGAAATATGTCTATTCAGGTGGGTTGGATTAGGAGATCGGCCAACAGCTTGGCTGGTAGCTTAGAAAAGCAAGGGGTTCAAAGAACAGATATGTTTTGGGCACTTTTGTAATTCTGTCTTGGGTCAGCTTCTAAGCTGATTTCTTTGTAACTTCTTGTTGTATATTAAAGCTTCTTAATTAATGAAATTTTTCAGAGTTATTGCTCAAAAAAATGCAGGCTATGGAAGGAATAGACCACTTCTCAGTGTTTTAAGAGCAAAATGCACATGAAAAAGGGCAAATGCCTTTTAGAACCCAAGGCACACACCTTTTCCGAGCAAAGTGCAAATTTTTTAAAATATTCAAAAAAATCAAAAAATAAGATGGTTTGGTCACATGCATAAAAGACCATCAGCATCACCCGTAAGAAGAAATGATCTGTTACAAGTTGAAGGGGCTAGAAGGGCTAGAGGTAGACCAAAAAGGGCATGGGTTAAAGTAGTAAGAAATGACTAAAATGCCCATAAATTAATTATGGGTATGACATTAAACAGAACGGAATGGCGACATAGGATTCATGTAGCCAATCCCATACAGTTGAGATTAGGCTTGAATGAATGAATGATGATGATGATTAAAAAATCATATATATATATATATATATAGACAAAAATGAAAAGTTCAATTTTAAAAGAAATTAAATATTTAAAAAAACTATTGGCTCAAATTAAAATACATAAACATGTAAAACGCATTCAACATGAAAATATAGAAGTAAAACCAAATATATGTGAATTGTACAAAAGTGCTTCAAGCACTCAACAATTCAAGCATGTAAAGCATTCAATTTGTTTRTTTTTTATTTATCTCTTGGTAGCACCGTGTTATGGGCCCGGGCATAGGATCTCATCACGGGTCGGTCCACGGGGAGAACCTCTAGTTTCCCCTTGCCCCTCCCTTTGTGTGYTGACCCTATCGTGGCGACCTAAGGGGTGATTTGTCCAAGAGATCACCCTAACTCTCCTTTACTCTTCTCTTTGACTGAAATTTTGGATGCCTTTATTCAATAATAGTGGCTCCTTAAATAGGAGATTACAAGAGTCCTGCTCTTAGGGAGACTCCTTGCTGAATAGGGAGACCTCCAACTCTATCTTGATAAGATAAGACTGATAAGATAAGATAAGTCTCTCTTAATCCTAATCTAATCTACTAACTTAATAAGATAAGAATAACAAGATAGTCTAATCTAATCTGCTGAATGGACAAGACTGTTGCTGCAGTAGGACTTGAACTGGGTCCAACTGAGCCCAGGTTCTTCCTGTTCTAATCGATAGAACCAAAGTTGTGCTTCCTCTGTTAAGTGAAAGGCGGCTAGGCTTACCTTATCCCGGTCGTCTGTCTGTTGATTTCGAAAAAACTGCTCGCACCAGTACAGCCAACCCAAGGGATCTCCGTTGCCGTTGTACGACAGGAATTCTAACCTGTTGTACTTGGGGATGACTGCGGCCCCCTGGTTGTCGAACTGTTGTTCGCCGGAAGACTGCGGCAGATCTGGTCAGCGGCCGCTAGTGGCTATCACCCCTTCTGTGTTCCTCTCTTTGCTAGAAAGGAATAACTCCATCAGACGCCATAGCTCCCTGACTTCGTCCTTGATTTCCCGTACTTCCGAGCTAGTCTCCATGAGCCAGTGCTCGAGTTCGTGGACCCTAGACGACAGCTGCTCCAGATCACCCATGACGCCTTGCTCTGATACCAAAATGTTATGGGCCCAGGCATAGGATCTCGTCACGGGTCGGTCCACGGGGAGAACCTCTAGTTTCCCCTTGCCCCTCCCTTTGCGTATTGACCCTATCGTGGCGACCTAAGGGGTGATTTGTCCAAGAGATCACCCTAACTCTCCTTTACTCTTCTCTTTGACTAAAATTTTGGATGCCTTTATTCAATAATAGTGGCTCCTTAAATAGGAGATTACAAGAGTCCTGCTCTTAGGGAGACTCCTTGCTGAATAGGGAGACCTCCAACTCTATCTTGATAAGATAAGACTGATAAGATAAGATAATCTCTCTTAATCCCAATCTAATCTACTAACTTAATAAGATAAGAATAACAAGATAGTCTAATCTAATCTGCTGAATGGACAAGACTGTTGCTGCCGAATTGGATAGGATGAGAACACCGGATCATTGCTGTTGTTGCTCCCAATACGCGTCCACATCACACCGCTTCAAGTAATTAGTGTGATTTCTAGAATATTGGTCCTCTGCCTCTATAAAGGCCCCTTGAGGCAAAGCCCAAACAAGTCCATGCAAGGAAAGTTCCTAAACAAAGAGATTGACTCAAATATATGGTTTTGTAATTTTAATTGCAGTTTATTCCATTTTCGAATTAGGAATTAGATATCATTCAATGAAGCATGTCATGTATTAAGAAGGATGAGAAAACAACACCACTAAAAGGGGGGTTACTATCAAAAAGGAGGTAAGAGAGCGAGGCTAAGGAGCAATGTCCGCACAAAGAAATGTTGGCAAAAAAGGCATTTTAAAATATTTGTGTGCTTGGGGCCTTCGGCTGAGGCATAAGGTGCTTTAAATGCGCTATGCCTGGGTTCAAGCAAGGCACATTCATGTGCTTTGCCTATGCTCCTAGGCACACCTTTTAAAACACTGCCTCTTGTGATCAATTTGATATACATAAGCAGCTCATACACATGGAAAATTGTAAAGCCATATGAATGTAAGTACAAGCTACATATATCATAAAGTTCAGTTCAAGTCCTAGACAAGTAACTTGCGCCATATATATGACTACAAAAACATCCCTGCAGAATATTTAATTTTGGACTATGATATTCATGCATACATATCAAAAAAGGACACAGAATGTTAAAGTTTCGGTTGAAATTTCTTTTTACATATCATCCAATGGTTAATCAGTTTCTAAATGAAGAAGAACCATATTGGATAAACATGGCATCTGTGGCACAATATATCACCAAGTAAGAGGATAATCATCAGAGATACTTATTCTTCACAAACTAAAACCAATCTTTGCTTCCAAGAAGCATGCTTTGCTAAAATAATTAGAATTCACTAAAAGCCCAAAAGCTAATTAGAAAAACTCTATGCATCATAGAAGACTGTGATATGAATCAAAGTTCAAACTACAATTTTCATTAGTATCTTGATCTAGGTTCACACAAACCAAACCACAGAAACAGGCAATGATGGTGCATTACCTTTCTGAGACCCAATAAGTTGCTGTGGCCGGTTATTGTAGTTAGAAGAGGGCCTACTAGCCGAAGAGCCACCATAGGTAGATGAAGATGAAGGTTCCGATGACTCCGGTAGTTGATTCCTTTCAGCTCCCTGGTGCTTGCTTGAAATCTTTACAGGTATGGTGTTCCCAATTGAAGTTGTTTTTTCATCTATGGATGAAGACAACTCAGGGTCAGTCATCTCACAAGATACAAGTTTGTTCATCAGAAGATGGTTGGTGAAGTCCTGAGAGGCACTTGATTTGCTCTCAGCAGGATCTTTAGCACTCTGTTCAATTACTGCACACTGACTCCGTACTTCACATTTAACTGTACCCGGTGCACCAGGAAGTCGTGATTCAAAGGATGGAATCAGTACAGGATCTGAATCTGAGGAATATACCACTGACCCAGATGCTAGAGACATGTCAGGACTTGGTGCAGGGTGCACACATTCAACTCCAATTCCAGACACAGGGATGATTTTTGAATCACCATGCAGTGCTGGTGGTGCACTAACTAACTTATTAGCATCAACTACTGAACTTTCTTCAGGTGAGTTGATTCCACTGCCTGGGGGCAATTGGGAGGCATGGCCATGACTGGGATCCCTGACAGTTATATCGGCAGAGCCATTTGCCATGACATTCACAGAGCTGCAGAACAAAAATAGAAACTTTAAATATATACCCACCCCACATATACAGTTACAGACAACAATACACAAAACCCAAATTTTCAAAGTTGACATATGAATAAATTTGATAATTTTGATAACATGACTGAATTATACAGATGTTAGCAATCAAGATTTAACAGAATTCAATTGATGATGGCTACCTTGACCCAGGAGTTACTGTTTTGCTTTCTGTCTCCTGAGATGGAGGCACTGAAGAGGATGTAACACCTAAACCTCTCTCTGTGCCTTGATTGACACCATTTTCCTTCCCAGTAATAGTGCTCTTCCCACCACCAGCATCTGACAAAATGGTTAAACAAAACATAAGTGAATGATATCCATCATGCACCATGAATAAGTCACTACAGAGAGAAATACCGGTCTTCCCCCCATCATCAACCAGATCCTTTTTTTAGTAAAGACAAAGTAAAATCCAGATGTTCTGGGGAAAATTTTCTGCATTGGAAACTAAAGACGCAAAAGGTAATGGCTAGCACCCCCCCCCCAAGTGGACAGCAAAGCAGTTATGGCATTGTGCCAAAGAAACACAACAATGGCATTGTTATCAAGACTCACAATATTTAATGCAATGAATCTATGATATGGATAGTTGGGTGCACATTTCCAGGATGTTACAAACATACATATAATCATGTTAAAGAAACCAGGAAATCAAATACCACAAGATCAGTCCATCATGGATGATTTCCTGAACAAATATGAAATCCTAATTATAAAATGTATACCATGTGAGATGTAACGAGGAGAATAATTCCCCCGACCAACCCCCCTACCCCCTCGCCCTTGCATGCTTGGTCTCCATCTAGAATCAGCAGGCTCCCTATTCACATTCTGCAAAATTATACACAAATGTTATATAATTAAAACAACCAGTGGAGTATCAAATTAAATAACAATTTTGAGAAATGGAAAAGCAGATTCAAGGACAACAAAGATCCCTAATTTCCTTGATGTGCTTATTTGGGAAAAAACATCAAATTATGCACAAAGCCACATAACAAATTCCAAAAAATTGAATAGTAAAAATCACATAAAACAATCTTCAATAATGACACCAGATTTGAGACACAGAACTATCAAAATCACAAATGAATCAAGTAAAAAGTGTTCTGAAAAAGCTTACCAAATCTTACTTATTTCTCTAACCTTGTTTACATTCGTTTCTTCAGAAATTTGTTACCATAATTGAATCTTTCTTTTTTTTTTTTTTTTGAGAAAAAGTAAGGTATTGCATTAAGTATAGTCAAAACATTTACAATGCCCAGCACAATAAATTTGTGTGCATGGAATATTAATGACTTCCCAAGAATGAATTGTTCCCAAAACAAACTTCATAACTGAATTTTCTGAGTCATATTTGTTTTCAGAAAGTCTTGAATTCCTTTCAGACCACATGGTCCAAATCACAGCTAAGGGTGTCACCCCCCCCCAAAAGAAAAAAACCCTTCCTCTTTGACTCAAACCTCTCAGTTTGCAGCCCCGTTTTTTTAACTAGAGGCACATGGAAATTTATATTAAATCATGAAAGAAAGCCTCATACCCATGAGTAAGGGTCATGGGGATCAATAACAATATTCACAGGCAAAAGCTGGTTAAAGAAAAAAGGAAACAAAGAGAGTTGATCACCACCGTCTACTCCCTTGTAATTGGAGTTCTATAGTTATATCCTCTCCCTACTCCCCTGTAGTTCAAGAGAGTTGGTCACCACCACCTCAGTTCAGGGTGAAATTAAATTTTGATGGAAGCTCCTTAGGTAATCCAGGTCCGTCTGGAGTTGCGGGTGTCTTCAGAAATGAGGAAGGAAGAGTTTTAGCCCTTTACTCGGGCCCGATTGGGGTGGAAGATTCCTTAAGGGCAGAAGTCATGGCTTTACTCCAAGGCCTGAGATTGGTGAAACAATGGGGTGGATGCAATTTAGAAACCTGGGAGTATGGTCACTTAGACAGCCTCTAAGAGAGACTATTAGCTTAGAAAGGGAGCTTCGGGTGCAATTTAAATGGGTAAGAAGGACACAAATGGAATGGCTGATGCTTTAGCTAAGCAAGGAGTTATTAGGGAGGCTTTGTTTTGGGCTTGTTTGTAAGGCTTTCTTGTTCTGGGTTTTTCCAGCCATCTTGTGGGTGGTGATAACTGTACACATTTTTTTAAATCATAAATGAAAGTTACTGTTTCCTATCAAAAGAAAAAAGGAAAGAAAGAGAAGGAAGAGTAAAAACTATTATCTTTCACAACTGTTACAACTTACAAAGTAGTAAGTAGGAATTGTATTCCGCCATAGTTGTCATGGCATCACCTAGGCATCCTTGGCAGGGCACCAAAGCTAAAAACCCTGACTTGTGACTAAAGGTGTTCATCTAGGCAACTAAACACCCACCTACGCAACAAAAATCACAAGGCAGTCACCTACTTGTAGTATTATTGACATGGCTGCATCCTATTAGTATGTGTGTCGATACACGTACACCCTATGTTTTGTACTTACACAAGGGTTTTGAGAAGAGAAAAGAAAAGAAAGACATTGATTATCACAGCTCCACATCCCCATTCAAATGGTAAATTTTAACCCATTCATCAAACAAAACTAACTCAAAATTAATTTCCATGTTCTGTGTACTTTTTCATAAAGCATACACTATGTTTATACTTTACACCAACCATATCTGAAATAAAGGAAATAAGTGATGTACACACCATTCATGTCCAGCAAAATATATATCATTTAAAAAAAAAAAAAACTAGCAAGATGGCATTGGAATGAAAGTCGTAGAAACTTTTAAAAAACTGTAACAGTCTTGTGGTTATCATTTGTGTTTGAAATAGAAAATAAAATGAAGAAAAAAAGAAAAGGGATAAGCATTTTAAGGGTTTATTAGTAACTTGACAAAAAAAGTTTACCTCTTTTCTCTTGTCACGTTTCCTTCTGACTTCATGAAATGTATCTGTTATAAAAACAAATACTTGCATCACTTTGTAGAACAACAAGGCCAGTCAGAATATCAGAAATAATAAACAATCCAATGGCATTAATAGAATACCTTATTCATGAAAAGAAAGAAGAGGAAAGAGGAAGAGTGAGGAATAAAATTAAGGAAACCCATAGACAAAACAACATGATATTTCACTTTAAACACAAATGATGATTCATGTAAAAATGTAACAACTTATTGAGGTGTGTCATATAACTTACTGTTTTGCAAGCTAAGTCATAATGTTAACTTCATATCAATTGCTTGACTAGTGAGAACAAATATCATTACTAAATGTGTATAAAGAAACCCCATTTTGAAAACTAACAACCTACAAAGGACTATGAGTAAATACCAGCAAATGGCTAATTCATTGTAAAAAAATGCTCAACCACCTAACGGTCCCAGACATCCTAAAAATTTTCTTTTGCCAACCACCATAAGCGGAAAAGAAGCACTTGTTGGATGTAGGTATAATTCATAGGCTTTAATATTAACAACTGATAACAACCCTTTAACTTTTTACCAAAACGAAAATGAAGGTTGACTAGTCTTTGATTACAAACTCCATAAATTTGAAGGAACCAAGCTCAATGTCACTGTTATTGCATAACACCACATTATTGAAAGACGGAGAGATGATCATAAATAACATGTAACTTTTAGTCAGTAATGAATCACGTGGTTCAACAACTTCATCAATTTTTCAAAGTCAACTCCAGAAACCTCTTATGGATACTGAAAGTCAATAACTACCCCAGAACCAATAACCAAAAGTTTGTTAGTAGCACTTGATTATCGTCACTGTATCAACTGGAATCACACTGTGAAATGAATACAAACAGATCCACGGTAAGAATTATTGATCAATCTTATCGCAGTCCCCCTAGTCAATATCCTGTTCCATGATTTTATCATTGAGAAAAAAAAAAAAAGAAAGAAAGAAATGGCAGGGACAGGGAGAATTCCGACGCCCTGGTATCCCAATTCCATAGCTCACTCATGCGAAAAACAATTAAAAGGGAAAAAAATACGAAGAAAATTTACTTAAAACCAAAAAAGGAACCGTATGTCACTAATGGGAAATGAGTCTTGACTCTTAAGATAATATGACTTCCTGTTCACACCTAGAACACAATTTCCCCACGGAAACATGGATTAGGAAACAGGTTTGCATTAAAAACCTTTATACTAAGAAGTAAGTTCTCAACGCCGGTAAAACTTAAGTGGTCATAATCCCAGCTTTTCTTCTGAAGAAAGATATTACAATAACCAACATGAACTAGCTCATCCTTGCAAAATTACATGAACACTTAGAACCAATTGAAGCCCATAAAAAAACACCTCAAATTTCACAACCCAAACGGTCCTATGTCTCCAGAAGAGCGACGACACCGACACCAAATCAAACCCCCAAGCAGCATGATCGCAAGCCAGATAAATGAAATCGAGATGAAACATAAATAACCCAATAAAGAAATAGACGAGCTCACCGCAGGCAACAGAGTACAGAAATACCTTGAAACAAGAGCTTCTGTGCAGTTTCATTGGGATCCATCGAGCACTCCTTGAGCATTGCATATACCTCCTCCTCGCTGTGGTTCCCCGCGATCTCTTTGATATTCTGGATTGTTTTGCGCACATTGTTCGGGATTGAAACCCTAGAACCGCCGCTCATGTTTATAGAGAGACAGAGGTACAGATACAGATGAAGCAAGGGAGAGGGGGAGAAGGTAGCAAGACCGAACAACAAGAATTCAGACGCACACAGACAAAGATGAAATATAAGGGAGATGAAAGAGAAATAGAGCTTGGGGCTTTGAATTGATTTGTGGAAAGTAAAGGAAGCAAGAAGAAGGAAGAAGAAGGATCAAAATCAAAAAGGAAAGAAAAAAAAAATACAAATAGACATGGAAGAGAGTTGCAAAATAGTGAACACTAATATTTATTTCACATTTTCCTTAGTCTGCTCTTGATAGTATGAAGTACAAGTACTATGTTAATATTATTATTCTATTATTCTTATGTACATATACATACATGCATAAATATGATGACAGATCACTGGCCCTAGGATTGGAATAAACGTGGAACAAGAATGGACTAGTCCAATTAAACGGGGATCATGGGCGATTCGTGCTACCCAGATCACGATTTCATGGGACTCGCACCGCCGTCGGATCCTCTTCGGCTCTTCCTAAGGCCTGCGAAACTATATATTGCCTTTTTATTTTTTCAATTTAATCTTATATACCCATATTTCTACTTTTAAATCCCTTTACTAAATAGTTGCCTCTGTATTAAAAGCATTTCGGCTCAGTTTGGGAGGACGTAGAGTGTAAAACCGTATATTTCGTATTATTTTATATGTATTTATATTGTATATAATTGCATTTGTGCTCTTTTCAAACCGAACTTGATGTTTTGGGTTCGACTAAGATATAATATCTTAAAAACCTCTGATTAATCAATTAGAATCATAAACGGGATAGCCAATCAGGTGTTGGATTTTGATTGATCAAAACTCTTTGGGAAAAGTACGGAAACACACAATGTAGAATTCTGAGTTCCAGCCCCTCCCTACAAGTAGCCCTCTGCCCCCCTATAAACCACATCCTTTCCTGCCCGTGAATTTGGCATCAATTCACGGTCATGATGTATTCCCCCTGTACTTTGGGCCTAGTAAATTCTGATCTATTGATACTTCTCCCAAACTCTTTTCATACCATATCTTTGTAGAGTGTAAAACCGTATATTTTGTATTATTTTATATGTATTTATATTGTATATAATTGCATTTGTGCTCTTTTCAAACTGAGCTTGATGTTTTGGGTTAAACTAAGATATGGGGAAGATATAATATCTTAAAAACTTCTGATTAGTCTATTAGAATCATAAATGGGATAGACAATCAGGTGTTATTTATCAAAATTCATGAATGAATGAATTTTAATTGATCAAAACTCTTTTCATACCATATCATTTTCACATCAAAAATTTTCCCTGATAATTAATATCAAAAAATGGTATACTTTCAATATATGGAGATATATAACAAAGTCAAAGTAGAGAACTTTCATCGTCAACCTACCTTATTAATTTTCCAGGTGGAACGATGTTTTACCTGTTTTGTCCCAATCATATAATAAAGTGAGATTTGTTTAGATTAATTACACATATCTTCAGTCTTTATTATTACATTCACTTTCAACCAACATTGTGTTGAGAGTTTTTTTATTGATGTGATATTATTTCATGGTTTTAATTATGGAATTACAGACATTTATAAAGGCTTAACACGTGACTATAACTCTGAAAAATGAAAATTATGAAATGAATGCGTTGTGTCATTTTGGGTTGTAAATACAACATTGTCACATTGAAATTTTCAGGGGCCATTTGATAACATCTAATGTTGCTAGATTGAAAAATTCATTGTTTCATCTTTTAGTGGATAAAAATAATTATTTATAACAAAATAATCAAGGGCATAGCTATCTACACACTTAGAGAGAGAGATAGGAGGGGGTTAAATGTTTAAATTGATGGTTTGGACATGAGGCCCAAGGCAAATATTGCCATTATATACTGATGAAGGAAGATTTGGCCCGATCTCGCAAATCACGCCACGTGGCAAAAAAACAAGCAATTCAGCATTTAAAACAGCGTACCGAGGGTACAAAACACCAAAGGGGAGAGACCAGCGGTCCGAACTCCCTACTTAGAGCCCGAACTCCCTACTTAGAGCTCAAACTCCCTACGGGGAGCCCGAACTCTCCACTTAGGGCCCGAACTCCCTACTTAGAGCTCGAACTCCCTACGGGGAGCCCGAACTCTCCCTTTGGCCCCGTCACACAAAGCAGAGACCCGAACTGGCCCGTCTCATGATAGTTCGGGACACCCCCCTATCCGAACTCAAGACTTCGCCTCGCGCACCGCTCCAGGCACTTCGCCTCCAAAGCATTGAACTGGACGAACCACACCGTACCTGACACCGAAGGAGTCCGTATCCAGGGGCGGCGCACCTGACTGACTTGGGATCTAACACTTGACGGCCGCACTTCAACGGCCACCTGCCACCGTCACCTGCCATCGCCATCTCCAGTTACAGAGATGGCTCCGACAAAAACAGCAGTGACGGTTCTGCCCCAGCAGAGGCAACGACGCCCGAACTGGCAGAAGCACGGAAGTAATCATTCCCGACTTGACAGAAGTCTAGGAGTGAGTGCGCGAGGTGGTTATAAAAGGCTCTCCACTCCCCCAAAGAGGAGGGATGCAAACTTTGCACTATCTGGTTTTATCTTGCCTTTAAAGGATTCTAACTTAAGCTTCAGAGCCTTTACACCGGGTTCTCCCCGAAGCTTCCTCATCCCCTCCGTTTCAGGTTCCCTACTACTCAACTCAGAGGCAAGGTCGTTGACAGCTAAGACCGGCCGGATTGCGCATCATCATATACCAACAATGCAATGCCATTGAAAATAAATAAGTATCAAGTATTATATGAAAAGATATAATGACATTAAAAATAAATGGAACTTCTTGGATATAAGTGCATATGACACATGATGGTTACATAAAAATTAGGACTCGCTGTCATTTATTAAGTGAGTTCATTTTCAAACATTTATTACATAAAATAATTCAAACTTTAATGATGTTTATCCATTTTCTTTGGCCCCATTTTGTTATTATTAAATATACATGCATCATAAATATGGTAGCAAAAATGTTGGGTAGGAAATAGTATGAAAAATTTAGAATATTTTACATGTAAACACATGTGATAAGGGAGACTCTTAGGCTTCGTTTGATAACACTTTTTAGAGGTCTAGTGTCTGAAAAACTTGCTTTTTAGACACCATACTCATTTGGTGTTGCGTCTGAAAATCGATCTGAAATATTTTTTCAGATCTGAAATTTTAAGTTAGTAGCCTGACACTTATGCGTTCAGACGTAATTGAGAGGTGCGTAAAAGACATAAATGCCCTAAAAAAWTTTTTACTATTACATGTTTTTGTCCTTCATGTAACTTGAATCGAACCCTCATTGCGACCTACGAAGCTCCACCGCCACCATCGTCGTTGCACTCCCTCTGTCTCTCCTCTCTCTCCTATATTCTCGCCACTACCGCTGCAAGTTGCAGTGCAACGGTTCCTTCTCTCTCGCTCTCGCTCTCTCTCCCCCCTGTCAATTGCAGCGGCAACGGTTCCTTCTCTCTCGCTTTCGCTCTCTCTCTCTCTCCCCTCCTATCTTCCCGTCACCGTCACTACAAGTTGCAGCGATGGTGGTTCTCTCTCACTCTCTCTCTCTCTCCCCTTGTCATCCCGTCACCGCCGTTGCAACTTGCAGCGGTGGCGGTTCCTTCTATCTCTCTCACTCTCTCTCTCTCTCTCTCTATCTCTATCTCTATCTCCCTCCCATGTCTTCCTACCACCACCACTACAAGTTGCAAAGGCGGCAGTTCCTTCTCTCTTTCGCTTTTTCTCTTTCTCTCTCTCTCTCTCCCCTGTCTTCTCGCCATCGTTGTTGCAAGTTGTAGCGGTGACGGTTCAATGAGTAGAAATAATAATATTATTATTAATTGTAAATTATTTTTATTAATTATTAATATTTAATAATTATTCTTTATTAAACATTACTAGTTATTAATTATTTTTATTAAATAGTAATTTTTAATTATTTCATTAGTTTTTAAAAATTATTTTATTTTTATTTGTGTAAATTATTAATTATTTTTTAATTTTAATCGTTTCATTTATTAATTAGTAATTATTAATTATTAATTATTAATTAATTATTTTTTATTTATATTGTTTCAATGTTATTTTGAGGTTGAAAATTATTTTTCATGAGATAATGCAAATTGAACTCAATATTTACAAATAGTATGATGTAGGGGTAAAATAGTAAAATTAGTAAATCTCTTATGTTAAAGGGTTGATCCAACACAAACAAGCTTATGGATTCAGAGCCTCTAAAAAAGTAAAAAAAACATCTATGTCTCTTTTCAGATTTCAGACACTTTTAATATCTTTTTAACTTTTCAGATCTGAATTTTTAGATTTATCAAACACCACCTTAGTTAGGTGGTGTTTCTTCACAAAATTCTCATTTGAAAGTGGCTAATTAATGGATTTACAGAATGGGCATTGGAATAAGGAGGTGGTAAGATTCTATTTTGATGGAACTAGATGTGTGAAGCCATTCGTCGTATTCGAGTCCTATCGTATGAAAATTGCTTAAAAGACAAGCTCGTTTGGATAAAGGAATTTTAACGACAATCGGGGCTTATATGGCATTAAGACTTGCTAAATCTCAATCTTCTTTCAGTGGGTAATGCTTTTTTATGAATGTCTTGGAGCAAATTCTGGCGAATTTATCGTTTACCACCAATAACCCACATGTTAATTTGGCAGTGCATCCATAACATGCTCCCTACAAGGGAGGCCCTTAAAAGATCCAAAAAGATAGAAAATATTTGTCCTATTTGCATTTACAACCCAGAAGTAGCAAGAGCTATAGTTTTATAGCACATTTGGAAAGCTCGGTGTAAGATAACACTTAAAAGGAGTTTTAGCAAATGCACACTCTATCACTATATCAACTCAAAATCAAATAGAAGGTGGGGTCTGTTAAGAACTAATGGAAAGGATATGTAGGCTAAAAGAGTGCGGTAGTCAAGACCTTTGGGCGATACGTTAAAACTTAACTTCGATGGTGCCACGTCAAGTGATGCCTCAAGTATAGGGATTGTTTTTTGCAATTCTTCTGGAGCCTTTTGCTTTGGACGTATCCTCAATTGGGACGTAATTTCTTGCTTTACTTGACCCAATGTTTAGAAATCAATGACCTGCAAGTTGAAGGGATTCCTTAGTGTTGATTAAAGCTCTCTTGGAGGAAATCTTAGAAGTGTACCAAAAAAGCTAAGTATC